AATTTAACCATCCTTTTGGTGATTAGTTAATTTCTACGATGATCCGTACTTCAGAAACCGGGCGTAAGCTATCCAACATGCACAGATGCCAACAAAAGCTTATTAAAAACAGTAGACCGCGCCGCGTCACTTTACTGCCGTAGTTGTGGCGGTATTGTTGACGGTGTACTCGTATTCCGAGGCAACGTTTTTACGCGTCCCGGTGGCTTACGCGTTAAAGGATTCACGGTCCGCGCGGGCAGGTGGTCGAAAAAAGGGTATTTTTACAGGGGTGGGTTGGGAGGGGGAGGTAATATTAAAGTTTTGTAATAATGTCGCCGCGTGTAAAACGTAACAGCACCTCGCCGCTAATTACGAGATAAATTATCAAGTTGCCCAAAAAACCCGGTCGCGTCGCTTATGAGTTATGGCGGCGAGCGGAGCGAAAGAAACGGGATCGCCGAGTTGAGCGCTATTCATAGTTTCGTATAACGAAATTAACGACGAATGATATGATTGGCTATAAATTGGGAGAGAGAAAGATTTGGTAAGTTTTATTATACAAACTATTATTTTTGATATAATTGCATAACGTATTTGGCCTTACGTATTGACTTATTGTTTTACGCGAAAAAAGTAGATTAACTGGTATTTTCAGAGTTGAGAGGTACATAATCTTTTTTTTCGGCCTAAAAGTAAACCAATCTCGTTCATAGCAGGACATACTACTGGCCAGTTATTTTAGTGCATTATGATAAAAAAAAAATTACAAACGAAACAAAAAAGAGTAACACTTCTGAACTTAACGGTATCATTGCTCGTTACCGCACACCGCCAGGGTGGAGAGACAATCTTTCAAAACCTATTAACTTTAAGAGACGGTCGGCCATTAAACCACGTTTTTTCTAAACGTCTCCTCGCTGCGCGCAATTTTTCCGCCCGCCTCGAACACTTTTCATAATTACAGCCGTCCACCCTCAACCCGTTTGATACTTTTACAAGATGTTGCCACTTTAAAAAAATCCCCTTAACGCGATTGAGAGAGAACCGTTTATTGTCAAAAGGTTTTTCATTTATATTACAGTATGAGAATCCTTTTCAATCGCTGTTTTATTTTACTTATGTTCATCTTATTGGTTTTATGTTACTTAGGATTAACGCATCTTTTAGTGGTTATAGTTCCCGTCTAGAGCTTTCAAACTCTCAAACCTTTTTTTTTTTTCGCAAATTCTCGCCACGAAGTACACTCAGAATTGAAACAACTATTTGTGTATCACATTGTCTTATGCCGCGAACTGACGACAACAAGCGGTACAAGCCAAAAAACAGCCAGTAACTTAAAGGATAGTTAACAAAATTTGAATTCAACTCCAAAGACGGCGACATGTAAACGGAACATATTCGATGTATGTCTAAATAAAGCGTCAGTTCAAAGTACGAGAGCCCCCTAAGGGCAGCGCGTCGTTAAATACCTTTTTAAAAACGATATTCACAACAAAGGGACCGGCAGGCAGAAAGTAAGACAACGCAATTGATTTACTATCGCCGTACAAAAAAGTATTATTAAAAAATAAATTCCGATATAACGTCGCTAGTGATGCGAATGCTTTTAACGCATTAACAGAAGACGTTTTAATTCTCAAGCATATATGGATATTTGTTAATATTGTTATCATAAATTGTTATCCGTTATGTTTAACGGGTAACAATTTATAACCATGATAAATAGTCCAACAATATTACTAAGATGGACAGTATTTAGTAATGATTAAGTGCGTATTGAAGGTAAATGTAACAAATTAAGTTAGACGATAAGTTAAAGACTAAAATATACACAGGTTTTCTTCAGAATCTTATGTAAATGTTGGATCCATTAAAGATATCAAATTGATTACCTACAATATTCGGGATATTGCCACTAATTATTTTGACCCTTTCACTTTTGTCATAATATCTGCCAATTTCCGGGAGGAGTACGAAAGTAGGTACATCCCTACAATGTCGGGCGTACCGCGAAAACGAAATAAAGGACGGAACGCTAAAAACACATGTCCCGGTCGGGCGGCGAACGTCAATATCGCTACAATTTCGGAACGGGGAAGGAGCGTTCGCGATTTGAAATTCAAATTCGTTCGGCGGTCATTTTCCCGCGCGACTTTTTTCCGGAAAGCAGGGCCCGCAATAAATCCCGCGGCAATAACTATAAATTCATTGCGGATCGACATGCAAATGCGAAAGATTTTTTTCTACAACCCCGCACCGAGTATTTTTGCCTAGACTAAAAACGGCGACGAGTGGTATGACGCCTGATTATTTTGCGAAAAATGTACATCTGATGATCCTAAATATATTTTTTTATCTATCATTGAAGTAAATGTGTCTTTGCAGGGCAAGAAGTTAGTGCACGTTGATATAGTGCGTTTTCTGCATTTGACTGTATTACTGTTTATCATGAGTTATAATACAATTAGAAAATTTAGAATAGTGTTTTTTTTTATGTGAGAGAGTGGCAAACGAGTTGGCGGTTCACCTGATGCTAAGTGATAACCGCCGCCTATGGACATTTGCAACGCCCGTAGGGTTGAAAATGCGTTGCCACCTTTAAATAAAGTGGGCCCCGGCTACCTCACTCACAAGACAAAACGCAGAAGTGTAATACTTCTACTTTACGCTGGTCTTCTGTGAGGTCGTGGTACTACCCGGATGGACCTACCCATTCGTGCAACAGTGTTGCGTGGCCCTACCACCGTAAAAGTTAGTTGAACAGTATAGCTCTAATTTTTACTACACATTATTTAACTAGTATAAAATCACATTTTTAATATACTTTGCAAATGTCTCTTTTGTTGGGAAAAGGTGACCATAAGCGACTTTATTTTTTTTTCTCAATCTTATGCATATAAATATGCAACGACAACTTTTACGAGTAAAATAATCTTTTAGCGCTAACACTACTCCACTGGTGCACAGCTCGGCTCACCGCCGAAAGATCAAGTGCTACGCCCGTGCATCGTGCAGTTTTTATTTTTCCCGAGTGCACTTTTCCGTTTAGCGTCCAACGTACGTCGGAGCAGGTTTTTTTGTGCTCAGTGCTGTTCACTAAAAACTCTTTTGAGTCAACGCTACGCTTTTTAAATTTCAAACGCGACATCAAATCTTCTTTGACCTGGCCTTTAGTTTGGCCGTAGCTTTTAGCGATTTACCGGAACAGTAAAGTGATTATTTTTTGTATATAATTTCGAAATTTGTTGAAATTGAATATAATAATATCTTTGACATTTTAAATTTATACATAAGTTAATTGTAATTATTTTTGCTCTAAAATAAATGTAATTATTTTGGAGACCAATAGCAACTTATGGTATTTTTAAGTTTTGAAAATTTAGTCCTACTATTAAGAAAAATGGTGGAATGAAGAATTGAAAACAATTCATTTTTTACGAGGTTGAAGTCTTCCGAGAACAGTGTCTTTTTAAAAGCTTAGGGTCAGGAAAGTGGTGTGCTTTGTGAGAGGCCCTGTTAAAGTTTGACCGGACATGGGATCACAGTAATTCTTTCACACGCATTTGGTAAACATTCACTTGAATCCAACCTTCGATTGCATTATTTAATTTAATGCCTATATATCCTTAACTTTTTTATTCCTTTGTTACTCTTACTCTTGTTTAGCAAAGCGACACCCCCTTCCAACTTATACATATTAAAACTATGCGTATAATAGGTATTACGTCAGACAATAAATAATTTAGTTGTCGCCTTACATGAATGTTGAAACATTCAATGTACTTCTGATATATTAGAACGTATGGAAATACCTTCAAATCAGTCGAATGACAGTCAACTAAGCCTTTGACATTACTTTACGTTATCTATTAGCTTACCTAAGTATTACCAACACTCAAAAATGATTCCTATATAAATTTTACGAAGATTTGAACACGAAACAGGTATATTTATCAATTTGCCAATGTTGTCGGGTGTATTTTAAATTGCATTCGCATTGTTGCCAACTGCAGATGTTTTGTGCGCGGGCACTTCCTGGACGCGGCATACGGCACCTTGTGGGTGCGCAGATGCCCGTTTTGCCGCCAAAATAAAAGCGGCGATCGCACCTGATCACAGATTAAATAAAACCTTATCGCGCCTCCGGCGGCCGCGGCGCGGCGTTGTTTATGCGGAGCGGTTCTATGAACCGCGCTAGGGATGTGACTGAACGATCTCGGAACAGATTAAATATGGCGATTGGCTTGGTTTAGTTTTCAACTCGACGCATAGATGTCGCGTTTGAAGAGGTCTGATGCTGCTTCATCGATGGCAGCCGCGTTAGCTTAGTTTCCAGGTGCCGGCTTTTAATTCCGAGATCCCGAAGCTATTATCATGGCGAAATTAAAAAAGAATACAATGAAAATACTGAATCGAAGAGCGTCCTAATATTACACAAAATTTGGAATTTTTTCTCACTTATACAAATACAAAACTGTTCTATAAAAGTTTCGCAATTTTTTTGTCACCTAAAATTATTACTGAATTGTAAAATCGCCATCACTAATTCGAATAATGAATACGCAACAACCACTAGATGTTGCGTAGATTAGTGACGCCTTACGTTAAAAAGGCCCTACGCTTCGTTTCCTTGCCACCCGCCGCTAGACACGTCGATAAAATCAATTTTACGCACTAATAATTCTTTACCTTCAATACTTTCGAAATAGAAAAGTTATCCATTAAAAAAAACTAATGAATCTGGCAATTTGTGTAGAATACTTAAAAATAAACTTATACTAAGAGTTATCGGTCGGCAACCAATACCCAATTCTTTCGGGACCGTGCCACGGCGTGCCAAATCGGTGCATCCAAAAAGTATAGTTTCATTTTCAAAAACGATTCGAATGAAATTAAAAAGAAATCGCGCATTCTTTTTTAAAGAATTTTTTTTGAAAATCGAACGCCGATGTGGCAGCCGCCGCGTCGCCCGCGCTTTTGGAAGATAACAATACGCATTGAAACAGGTGCCAACTCACTCGCTGAAGCGTCGACCAGCACTCCTCCAGCGTTCGCTCGCTGATGCTTTGCCCGGAGCGCGCTTGTTGCTGAACGAAAATACACTTATTAGCAAAAGCCACAAAAACTATTTTGCAATAATGAGCAACAATGAAAATATCGATTCTGATACTTAATTAGTAATATAAAATAAAATAATAGTGATATTCTTATTGGACGTCAATATACACATTGTCCTAATATTAGATGTTCTAATCTTATAGTTATAATCCTCGTAGTGTTTTTTTTTTACAATCAAAGTAAGTGTAATGATTCTATAATGAATAAAGAAATTTAAATTTAAATTTGAATATATTTAAAATTATGAAGGTCTTGTAAATTTCCATTTGTGACTATTCTTATCTAGTTTTTGCCCTTTAAAGTACGAATATAACAATTTAATAGTATCCAAAATGGAAAATAATCAAAATTAGATAAGAAGTTCTGATTACCCACGGTATTTGGATAAACATCATGATTCTCGCTTCGGATAATAGAACAAAACAAAAATTCTCCCAAAACGAAACTTTACCTACTGACGTTCTTTTAAATAAAAGTTTAATTGTTAATACTCTAATATTATCGAAACAACGTCACACAACTGCTGCGAATTACACAACAGAATTAACTTGTTTAGTGGAAGGTAATTAATGCAAAAAATAACTCTTTTAAAATCCATTTCTATAAGCATACTTATTATATTCAGTTATCGCTGCATAATATCTGATTAACTAAAAATATATATAAGAAAGCTTTATTAAAAAAAAATAAGTTTCAGCAACTGATATGTGACAAAGGATCGTGCCTACGGAAATCATTGTGGTTTATTAAAGAGTGACATTATTTTTTTTTTTCAACTTCTGCTAATTTAATGACATGTATTACGTACTTGGATTAGACGCATACTTTTGTTTCAATCTTTCACTTCGATCAACATGCTAAGTATAAGAAAAAATAAACACAAAACTGAGCAATAAAAAAAATATAGAAGTTTGTTTAAGTAAATGCTGAATTGATTCTGAGTTAGATTTACATGTCTGCTGCAAAATAAACTTTAGAAGAGGACATTTTAGGTCTTCACAAAGCGCGCACTTAAAATAAAATCGTTAAAGCCAACTACGGAAACTCATTTCGTGGACTCAACGCGTATTTTTAGCGTAAGCAGCCGTATGCTTTGTGCCTATGCCGACTCGCGGTCCAAGATTCGATAGCCGGTCAAGCTGGTCCATTTTTGACTATCTAAGTAAGGCCGCGTTGATTCTGATAATGGATTGGGATGACTTATATCTCAGCTGACGCATGACCTTTCAAAAATGGCGGTTGTAAAAAATATGGTGGCTCTGAAACCACATACATAGTTGGAATTGCTAAAATACTGCGCATCTAAACGTAGAATTTCTTTTTTTATACCAATTATGATGTAATTTTAGTTCTGTTTTAAATAGAAGCTGTTTTTTAATTGTTTAACCACATTAAATGTAAAAATCATTAATTAAAGCTATTTAATTCATCTTCATACCTCTAGTAAACATTCAAACTATTCATGTAAACATTTTCTAAATCCTTTATATCTTACTGGTTGTGTTCTTTTACTTTTAATTTTGCTTTTCTTGTACGGGAAAGACCTAAACGTTAGTCGCAAGTGAAATTGCATTCATAAACTTCCAGCCAAATAATTAGAATGAGTTGCCGTAGCCGAGGGAAGGGAGAAGTGGAAGAAAGATAAAAATAATTACATCGATATTGAGGCTATTCAGGAAATTTACCAAAGCGAAGGGCAGCATGGTGGTACGGTCTCCCATTGTTGTATCTCCCGTAGGCGACTGCTGTTGTGGCTGTGAGGAAAACGGAAGATAAGTCACCGTCATAAAATAAAACTTAAGTAAAAAGTATTTGTTACGGAAATTTTAACGCGAATTTGAAGTCCATACCTCAATCTTAAAATAGCTAATAAACAGCTTTGACAAGCTAAGCTTAGAGATTTAATCCAGCCCTTTAGTGTAAGTTATCTGAGATGTTTGAAAATCGACACCCAATTTAAATACATGCGTTTTGGTGTCGACGGTCAAGCAATATTCGGATAACCGTTCGTGGACGATTGATAAGTTCATAAATAAAAATCGATCTTGCAACACAAAAACTTACCTCCTCCACGAAACTAAAAGCACAAGCCATTATAAAATAAAAAAAAAAGCAAATCGAATGGAACGATCCGTTCGATTTTTAAAAGTCAGTTCGCTTTACGGCAAACGCGAAGCGAAAAGGAGACACGTGGAAAAAAAAATGGACAAAACGCACACTTATAGTAATGTAGAGAAAAAAAATTATTTACATCGATATTACTGAGTGATGACAGTAAATTTACCAGTGCGAATGGCACGATAGATCGCTCGCTCATTGTCGAGTCTGCTGAGGGCGATTGCTGCTGTTGCTGTCAGTACCGAAGCGCGATGGAAACATGGAAGTAAAAAATCGCGTTAAAGATATACGTATTTAATAACGTTTACACAACACCAATTTTTTAATATACCAAATATTTCCTACATTACCCAAATACAGGCGCAACTAGTCTACAAGTCGCATTACCTAAATATGATCTATGTGTTTTACTAACACATATAATTATAATGTATTTGTACATGTCAAGAATATTAACGAAACGATACCGATAAACATTGCGAAATCGTCGTTCGGAAACGTGTACAGAAAACAATGAAATATACACACGGACGGAAAAAAGCGTTAATAAATAAATTTTCAATTAACCGTCTCTCAAAAACAGTTAAAACCACAATGGCGTCGCCACTTCAAATCGTCAAACCGTTAAACATTTATTTACGGGGATAAAAAACGTATGAATGCAAAACAGGATATCAAAACCGGTTCCAGTTCAAACAGAATATTAAAACAAAAAAAAAAAAAAGGAACGAGAACAGATTCGCAACAAATAACTGTCAACACCCCTTCCGTGAAACAAAGCGCGGTAAAAATGGAGAAAAAAATATTAAATCACAATGAAACCCTAATCCCTTCCGTGGGAAAAAGACAAATGTAAGGTGAACGAATCCGAAACTAATTTAAAAAGTAATATTGTTTCGTCTTCAATCCGTGCGTTTTGAATTTAAAAATAAAAACTTCAATCGCATTTAGTCGCTTTTATTAATTAGAATATTTTGCACGCGATTTGAGTTCTGTAATGTTTTCTTTTTTATGCAGTGACTTGGCAATTTGATGACGACTGCCTAATTTATAAATTTAGTTTTCAATATGTATGTAATATGTAGATAAAAATATAACGTTTGTTAATTAAAAAAATAAAAACTTTGTTCAATGTAAATATTACTTTTTACCCGCAACTAATAATTCAAAAATATTAACTGTATAAGAAACGGGCAAAAGTCGTTATATCAAATACGTTTTAGTAAAAATAAAACGCTCACATATCATTGCTAAGATTATTTTGTACGCATTTTTCATAATTTGAAATTTATATTGACAATAAAACAGATTTATAGACTGAGCCAGATAACAGACGATTATTATTTGCGACGTCCGAAATCGCGAACCATATGGTCAAAACAAATAAAGGGCGACATTAACAAAAAAGAGAAGCAAAACGAAAGAAACACCGTCGACAAGTTGATCACAAGTTAATACCGAAATAATAGAATTATCATTGATTATCGCAATTTACATATCCTTTGTGGAACCGGATGCGTACTGAGGACAAAAACGATTTAATAATAAGTTCAACTCGCGGCCCTTAACCCTTTCTTTGGTTAACAAACGGCACGCAATATGTTGCCTTGGCTCCTTGTGTCTTTTTTGAGGAAGACGGGGCCGTTCCGCGTTTCGGACGCGTTTCGTAAGACCACATTAGGGTCAGTCGATTTACATGATCCGCGGAAGACACACGCACAAATTCGAAAAGTCAAAATGAACGTTTGGAATATCGAAACATCGATGGCGATCATCCTTCTTCTGGTTACGTGACGGATATTGATAGTTGAAGGATTTATTTGTTTTTACCTTTATGAGTTCCGTTCGTTATTTATTTTTAACTTTCCAAGTCCGAGTGCGTTTCAGTCTGTCGAGATTTCGCGAACGGTTCGCGGTGAGTTTCGCAAAGTTGTTCTTTCGTAGAAATTTCCGTCGGGACGTGTTAGCTCGAGAAATTTATATTCGACTAGAACAAACGGTATTTTTGATTGGACGCGAATCAGAATTATTTCATAGTGTTAATGAAAATATTTCCCAACAACCGAGGCCATTTACTGAAAAACTACTGTTTACGTACAATAACGCATAAATCCACTGATAAACTAAGCGCAGGTTAGAATTATTAGTTGCGAACTCACCTGGATTTCGCTGACTAGCTTCTCGGCCATGATCTTGTGGTCGGGGGTCGCTGGTGGCTGTGGCGTCTGCGGAGCGGGACCCGGCTGGTTGAGGGGCTCCGGGTGCTCCTGGGCGGGGGTGGTCGGTCTGCTCCTATTCCAGAAGTCCTGCATCTTGAACTGGCGCTGCGCTTCCGTCAGCGCTGGTATGTGTAGGGAGAGCGGGGCGGCGCGGAGGTCCAAGGCGCTGCCACCGGCCGCCGCCTCGTTGCCATCGGCCGCCGTCATCTTGAACGAGCTCTGCAGCCACGAGGCCACGAAGCTCTCCTCCTCCTTGGGCTGCTCGAGGAGTCTCTGGTACGGCGGCGCGGCGCCCCCCTCGTAAGCGCCCTCGCCGCCGACCGTATCGCCCTCGTCAGCTATTTTGGGCACCTTGGCGTCGCGCGGCGCCGCCTCCTCTACGGCGTCCGCCCTCCGGTAGTCATGGAGGTCCCTGTACCTCTCCTGCAGCGCTAGGGAGACGTTCTCGTTGAAGTACTTCAACATCAATTCCAGCTTGGCGGCGCGCGGTCACAACACGGTGCGCGTGCGGGGCGCCGATGCGGGGCGCCTGCCGTCCGCCTGACCTGCAACCGTGCCGTTCGTCTTAAGTGTTGAGCGCGCGGCCGCGGAAGTGGGTACCACCTTGAGGCGCGGGCGGGCCACGACTAACTTCTTGGTGGAAAAGCGGCGCGTCGCGACGCTTCCTCGCGGGGTGGGGCGGGCGCGCGCGCCACGCGAAGACGCCGCACCAACTAGCAAGACGCGGCGCCGCCCCCGCCTTAGACGCCGCGAAGAACATCCCCACCGCGGCGGGCGCGTGCGCCCCGCGCCTTTCCCGCGGAAAAGTGCCACCGGTCAAGGAAGACGCCGCCGGACGACGCCGCGGCGCTTTCCCCGGCGCGGACCCTCTCCCGCCGCGGACGCGATCGCAACTATCTAAGGGCGCGAAGGGTAGCGCCTCTCGCTCGGCCGCTCTCGCCCTTCCCGCCGCAGCGCGTTAGAGAGGGATGGATAGAGTCGTTTTTTTTCCTAAGCCCCCATTAGCGAGGGAGGAAGTGGAAAAGAATCGGCTTTCTTTGCGATTTTTTTCCTTCGCCCGCCCTGCGTCTCACTCGCACGCGCGCGCCTCGTATGTTGCCGTCGCGCGGCGACTTTTTAAATACTTCCGTAACGCCTCTTCACTATTGAATTTTTTTCTTGTTCAGGCGGAGCTTAGCCCATGGGGCTTAGCCAACGGCCTTTCGGACGACGAGCTTTTTTTTTTTGCTCAATTTTTACCTAAACCCGGGGGGAATGTAAAATTTGTGTTTTCCCACGTTTTTCTTTTACCTAAAATTTTCATATGATATATGAAATATGTTTCTTTTAAAAAAACAGCAAAATTTCTCGCAGAATCTCTTATGATTTAAACTAATGATGGAAAAATAAATTATGGAAATAGATTGTTGCATAAAATTCCTTCTCTACAAATTTAAGATAGAACGCTCCTTGTCTGGAGCGCCCCGGTGAGATTTTATGCCGCCTATCGGCATTTCCAAAGAAACCAACCCTCTCGCTACCCCTCGGCAGATGGCGTAGCGTGCTACGAAAATTGTCTACGACTCTCTTAAGGCTTGTTTAAGTGGAACCTCGTACGTTATATCGAAAATAATTTTTATTACCATTTTAACTTTCAAAAAATAACAAAAGCGAAAAACTACATCTACTCTAACGTATGGAAGTAAGCTATTAACAAATACCGTCAAAATTAGTTTCAAATTAATAAGTGACTTCCATTTCCTTCAGTCGTACTTATTGATGAATCGATAACTTATTACATTTAACGATTCGCAATATTAAGCCCTATAAAGTCACAATCATCACTAAGAAATTATCGTACGTGTAAATTTTGCTCCGTTTCCGTTCAAAACGGAATGTTGCCAAACGAACCCAAACAGGCAAGCAGTCGTCGAATATCGTCCGTCATCATTCTTGTCTGCGTTATCATTGAATTAATTCCCATCTGATTCTAATCAAGTGCCTCCCGTCAAACGTTGCACGGAAAAATCGTTCGCGTCCCCCAACGTTTGGCCCGTGATTAGGTCCGAATTTGCGCGGCCGTCGCGCCTAAGTCATTATCTGATCGCAAGTTAAACGCTAAGACAATTGTTAGGTACTATAATGGGCAGGCGTGGTCTAACGACGTGGGAGTGACTAGGGAATTTTTTACGGTCCGTGGCCACATGCTCTTCGGCGCGAACTGGCTGTGGGGCGCTCGGTGAAGCGGGGAGATAAAAAATTGCTATCATAAATAGTATAGTTCAAACACCTATTTATGGAGAAATGTTTATTTCATTACTATCCAATGCATCCAGTTATCTTGTGGGTGAAGTATGAAATTGATACGGAGATGCCTAAGTTTCTTTTCGGCCAATTCCATACATTCAGCATTAGACTTACATATATTCTAAATAGGAGATTTAAACAGTAATAAAATAATTTCAGATTTCTGATACAATTTTTTATCTCTTTTACTTGTACGGATGTATTTTATGTATATATTAATCGTAATAAACATTAGGTACTTTGAGCCATTGCTAGTGAGCAGTGACTACTCGAGTGACTCTACTGCAGTGAATTTGTTGTTTGTATTCACTAAAGAAAGATTCATTTCAGATATACTGTTTCGGAATATCATATCACCGTCCTTCTCTTTAGACATATAACAATAGAAAAGCAGAATTAAATAAATAAATAAGAAAAATTCTGGAGCGAAATTTCCTCAAGCACAGTCTTGAATTTTCTTTGCGAACGCAATAACTAGATGTCACCCGCGTCGGTTTTCTGAAGCGTTTTCGTTTCCGAGAATAGTTGAATGGTTCGATTAAAAAGTAATTCGCTACAGTGTACTAACTACTCGTTATGAATTTAATTACAGCAAGTTAAAAATCGCTAAGGAACTTGCATTAATGAATTGCACTCGTTTGAATTGCGCCGTTTACTATTGGACCATGTTTTATAATGACTTCACGTATATTGTCGTTTAAAAAAATCTTGCATATCCTATATCACACGTGAAAACACAGGTGCAAAACTTGTGTTATTTGGGGAACCAGAAATTTAAGATCCCTTGAATACTCGATGGAGCCTCACATTATTACTCTTTTTGTGATACCCTATTTCATTTTTTCATAAATATACTCAATGTAAGGACATACCGATTTTAGTCTTTTATTATAGTATAGATTACGAAAAATAAATTAGAGCACATAAAAAACCAAACTAAACTCATCTTTATATGAACATCAGATAAAAGTTAGAAGCCGTGTTAATATTATTACGGGATCCCGTTTAATTAAAACAAACCAAAGAGCTTAAAAGCTATATGTGGTACCGCACTGGGTATTACAAGAAAGGTATGGCGATTAAAGTGACAAATGGAAACTCAACTATTATGTAACGAAAAGCTGATAGGCAAACGAGCAAAATTAGATATTCTGATCTTCCAATCAGAGAAGGTCTTCTAAAAGTAACGCTACTAAGATTGAAACCCACGATTCCAGATAACCAGTAGACCAGACATCACTGCAGATAATAACACTATTAAAACTGACCAAATGTGAGTTGAACTCACGCACGAAGGTTTCCGTATCATTATCTATAAAAAAGCCAAAAAATATTATGTATGTCGTATGGGAGCCTAACTTAAATGTTTTTACTCGTTTTTTTTATTTAGTATTTGTTGTTATAGCTGTAACAGAAATACATCATCTGTGAAAATTTCAACTGTCTAACTATCACGGTTCGTGAGATATAGCCTGGTGGCAGACTGAAAGACAGATAGACAGGACACTCTAAGTAATGGGGTCCCGTTTTACCGTTAGGGTACAGAAACCTGAAAAACCGAAATAATACATAAAGACTGAAGATTGTTTACCCTTTGGGTACGGAACCCTAATACGCTAAAAATAATGCATGCAGACTGAAGATTGCAACAGAGTCACTGATCGTGCCGCATCGGGCATAGAGTTGAAAATGCGAAAATCACCGCGTGTCAAAAATGTCATTAATACCGCACCTCGAAGGGCAGACAGACGAGCAGACGCGTGTGATGCTAAAATAATAATATCCGGTCCAAACAATGCGTTGTACTGGCCCAACCGATGACCCTACGCGTAAAGGGGCACATTCACAATGCACGTAAATTTCAACAGACGTTACGAATTTATATTATTAAATGTTACGAGCTAGTTTCCGTTTCCCTCGTTTAAACAATTCACAATAAAATATGTCAATTGTTTATTTTTTTTAATTTCTAAATATTGAATTTAGAATATAGAATTAAGAAATTGAAATTGATTATGATTAGGTTTCAGTTGATGTCTGCAATAAGTGGGTTGAAACATGAGGTTATCATTACGAATTATTAGTAAACAAAGCAGATATCAAGAGGATTGCTACATTTGAGTAAATATGGATTGAAGCGTTAGATTTGTAGGTTGATGAAATAATGAAACCTATTTAAGAAATCAATAAAGTTAAAGGACTTATCAAGACCGTTATGAATAAAAAATATTCTGTATTACTAAAGAAATATGAAAACTCGATAAAATTATGTAGTTATATGCACTATACGGTCATTGTTAATGATTCAAAATTTTATTCAAATAGACACTTTCGCGTTCTTATGAAACGGCAAATTTTACATAAAATTGATACACAAGTTCGTTAGTAATTACCAATTTTAAAAAAGTTCGTCTACTTTATTGATTGCCGTAATCATAGACTGTCTAAACGCTAAAAGACAATTATTATCTAATCTTAATGTTTTTCTTTATGTCAACGTTGTATAGAAATAAAATTGAGATAAAAAAGAGTCAGTGAGAAATGTTGCCATTGTGGAGCATGTCCGAGACGACAGCTGTTCAGCCGTTCATTGTTACACATATTATTTCCGTTGGCATGATACAGATAACTCGAATCCATAATTTTGAAATCGGAAAACATAAAAATAATTTCAGTTTATCGTTCAAAAGATAGATGAGAGTGTAACTGAGTAGTCAAAAAATATCTAGATTTCTCAATAAACTAGATTTCTCGATAAAGTATTCAGAACTTTAAAGTATCCGATGCTAAGCTGAGTATATACACAAAAAAATCGATATTGTCGCTATTGGGGTTGATAACGAAAATGATCCCGTTTTATTATGTAAGGAGATTTTTAATTGACATAGCAATATACGACACATATCCGTAAATACAAAAAGTGATTAAATAGGCGCAATGCGCAAATAATTTAGAATCCTTTTTTTATGTGAGAACGTGGCAAGTGAGCCGGTGAACCTGATGTTAAGTGATAACCATCGCCCACGGACATTTTCAACACCCGTAGGGTTGCAGACGCGCTACCAACTTTTAAAAGTGGCTCCCGGCTACCTCACTTACCAGACGAAACGCAGAAGTATAACATTTCCACTTCAAACCGGTCTTCTGTGAGGACGTGGTAGTCTGTTGCATGGCCCTACCACCCATAACCATGCAACAGTCTTACTTGCCACATGATAAACTTTTGATTCCCTTACAGCGCCATCAGTTAGGGATTTTGGCGAGAAATAACGACAGTGAAATATAATAAACATCATTTTAATCTGGAATCAAATCAAAAGGGAGAATACAAGAGGCGATGTAACACAACACTCCGCAAAAAGTTTATCAAAGAATCAGTTCCGGTATAAGTATGGCAAAAACGCAACAAAGGGCCCATTTGACCCTTCAGAATATGCAAATTATCCATTTGACAGAACACCTAGCGGATAGCATCACAAGGGTACTAATAACGCGTCAATTTTTAAGGATTTTTTGTTGCCACCTCGACCGGTTTCCGAATTGTTTTTTCCTTCTGCATTGTTCTAGAATTCATTGTTGTCTATGGGAACTTTGCAGCGTAACTGTTTCTTTAGGATTAAGCGTTGGATATGTCATGGTAAAATTATTCTTCATATCACTTTATTATTAATTAAATAACTGTCAGTTAAATGGCAATTTGGTGCATTTTTTTTAGTAAAATATTTATAAGCCCTCACTCAACCTTATTGAAATCATTGATTACAAAACTGTGATATTACAGTTGTCCAATTTATTAACCGATTTTAGTAAAAATTTCTGTTATTTAAAATAAACGCTACAATTACAGGAACCACTAAAATTGAATTTCTAAAATAAAAAGTAACTTATCTCGTAATTTTGTTCAATACTGCATGTGTTGAAGAAATTCCTTTAATTTAATTTAATAATAATAAAATCTTCCTTCTAGCGTGGCTAGAAATGCATAGTTAAAGATTCCTCGTGAGTATTTTCAATTTTTTTTTTCTATATGACGACAAATATTAATGATATTCGAAGACAAATCGACGTAAAATAATGACACGTAATTACCCACCGTCTCGTTATTTAGATTACCGGCCATTAAATTATTCAAAGACACGTCAGTAACTAACAAAAATGTCTAGGGCCGTGGACAATCAATAACCCCACCCTATGGAATTGAGTTCGAAGTCAAAGCGTGCTTAGCTTCGATTGTCGGTGACAGCTATGTTGCCACGTTTGTGGAGACTTTTCGCTTAAGAACATTATTAAAGAAGAAATATGTAAATTGTTTGAGAGAACTTCGATAAGATTTCTTAATGTAACATGCATAAGAACGGTTCTGTAATGATACTGTTGAAATATAATTACAAGTCACATAGTAAATATATAATTAATAAATAATTTTGATTATTACATAAAAATAATAATATTATCAATGTATTAATATTTATTTTACAATTTTTTTTTTTACTTTTACTTTACTAATGCAAAGCTTTTATTTGGCAAAACTATTTTGTTCTCATACATAGCTGCATAAACAAAAAATCTTATTGTGTTATAATTTATTTATACCGTAATTTATGATTTTTCCTCGTCATTGTTAAAACTTTAATACATGCTTAA